CTGCAGGTGTTCTGGTCCACGATGGGCAGGTGGATCTGCTGCAGGACCGTGGGCAGGTTCCTCGCCGCCGGGTTCCACGTCTCCTTCAGGTTCCCCCAACCCGTCACCCTGCCCTTATACCCCTCCGACATGAGCCTGAGGAAGAGGAGGAGACACGTGAGGAAGAGGAGGAGACACGTGAGGAAGAGGAGGAGACACGTGAGGAAGAGGAGGAGACACGTGAGGAAGAGGAGGAGACACGTGAGGAAGAGGAGGAGACGTGAGGAAGAGGAGGAGACACGTGAGGAAGAGGAGGAGACACGTGAGGAAGAGGAGGAGACACGTGAGGAAGAGGAGACACGTGAGGAAGAGGAGAGAACGTGAGGAAGAGGAGGAGACACGTGAGGAAGAGGAGGAGACACGTGAGGAAGGAGGAGCAGTGAGGAAGAGGAGACACGTGAGAAGGAGGAGACACCGTGAGGAAGAGGAGACACGTGAGGAAGAGGAGACACGTGAGGAAGAGGAGGACACGAGAAAGGAGGAGGAGAGAACGTGAGGAAGAGGAGGAGACAGTGAGAGGAGAGGAGGAGGACACGTGAGGAAGAGGAGGAGAACATGTGAGGAAGAGGAGGAGACACGTGAGGAAGAGGAGGAGGAAGTGAGGAAGAGGAGGAGAACACGTGAGCATGAGGAAGAGGAGGAGACACGTGAGGAAGAGGAGACACGTGAGGAAGAGGAGGAGACACGTGAGGAAGAGGAGGAGACACGTGAGGAAGAGGAGGAGACACGTGAGGAAGAGGAGGAGACACGTGAGGAAGAGGAGGAGACACGTGAGGAAGAGGAGACACGTGAGGAAGAGGAGGAGACACGTGAGGAAGAGGAGGAGACACATGAGGAAGAGGAGAGACACGTGAGGAAGAGGAGACACGTGAGGAAGAGGAGGAGACACGTGAGGAAGAGGAGGAGGACACACGTGAGGAAGAGGAGGAGACACGTGAGGAAGAGGAGGAGACACGTGAGGAAGAGGAGGAGACACGTGAGGAAGAGGAGGAAACACGTGAGGAAGAGAGGAGACACGTGAGGAAGAGGAGGAGACACTGAGGAAGAGGAGGAGGAGACACGTGAGGAAGGAGAGACACGAGGAAGAGTGAGGAAGAGGAGGAGACACGTGAGGAAGAGGAGGAGACACGTGAGAAGAGAGAAGACGTGAGGAAGAGGAGGATGAGGAACTGAGGAAGAGGAGGAGACACGTGAGGAGAGAGGAGAGACACGTGAGGAAGAGGAGGAGACACGTGAAGGAAGAGGAGAGGAAGAGAGGAAAGAGGAGGAGACACGTGAGGAAGAGGAGGACACGTGAGGAAGAGGAGGAGGAAACACGTGAGGAAGAGGAGGAGAACAGTGAGGAAGAGGAGGAGACACGTGAGGAAAGGGAGAGACAACGTGAGGAAGAGGAGGAGACACGTGAGGAAGAGGAGGAGACACGTGAGGAAGAGGAGGAGAACACTGAGGAAGAGGAGGAGAACACTGAGGGAAGAGTGAGAACACGTGAGGAAGAGTGAGGAAGAGGAGGAGACACGTGAGGAAGAGGAGGAGACACCTGAGGAAGAGGAGGAGACACGTGAGGAAGAGGAGGAGACACGTGAGGAAGAGGAGGAGACACGTGAGGAAGAGGAGGAGACACGTGAGGAAGAGGAGGACACGTGAGGAAGAGGGAGAGGACACGAGGAAGACAGATCTTGATTTGGGACCAAAAGGTGAGTCCAGACTCCAGGATGATGTGGAGCAGGGTCAGAGGTTTTTCAAGGTCAGAGTGAGGAGTCTGACAGACAGAAACAGAGAGAGGACGCAACACACACACACACACCCACCCACACATTACACAACACACACACAGCCAACAACACACACACAACACACACACACACACACACACACACACACACACACCCACACACACCACACACACCCACAAAACCCACACCCACAACCACACCCACAACACCACACACACAACCAACACACACCACACCACACACCACAACACACACCACAACACACACACCACACGCCACACACACCAGCAACCACACACACCACACACCCACACCAACACCCACACACACCACCACCACCCCACACCACACCACCACACCCACACACCCACACCACACACACACCAACACCACCACCCCACACACCCACAACACACACCCACACACACCTCACAACACACAACACACACACAACCCACACACACACACACACACACACACACCACCAACCACCACAACACACACAACACACACAACCCACACACACCCCCACACAACACCCACACACACCCACACACACACACACACACACACACACACACACACACACACACACACACACACCACACACACACACACACACACACACACACACAACACACACCACACACACACACACACAACACACACACACACACACCACACCACACACACACATCACACACAGTCACTGGACACACACACACACACACACCACACACACCACACACACACACACACACACACACAACATCTGGGTGGGTTGGTTGGTTGGTCCTGGTCTTGGGTCTGGTCTTGGTCTTGGTCCTGCGTCTTGGTCTGGTCCCTGGTGGTCTGGTCTTGGTCCTGGTGGTCCTGGTCTGGTCCGGTCTTGGTCTGGTCTGGTCTTGGTCCTGGTCTTGGTCTTGGTCCTTGGTCCTGGTCTTGGTCTTGGTCTGGTCCTTGGTCCTGGTCCTGGTCCTGGTCTGTCTGGTCCTGGTCTTGGTCCTGGTTTGGTCCTGGTCTGGTCTTGGTCCTGGTCCTTGGTCCTGGTCTTGGTCCTGGTCCTGGTCCTGGTCTCTGGTCTTGGTCCTGGTCTTGGTCCGGTCTGGTCTGGTCTTGGTCTGGTCTGGTCTGGTCCTGTCTTGGTCTGGTCTTGGTCTGGTCTGGTCCTTGGTCCTGGTCTTGGTCCTGGTCTTGGTCTGGTCTTGGTCCTGGTCTTGGTCCTGGTCCTGGTCTTGGGTCCTTGGTCCTGGTCTTGGTCCTGGTCTTGGTCCTGGTCTTGGTCTTGGTCTTGGTCTTGGTCCTGGTTGGTCTGGTCCTGGTCTTGGTCCTGGTCTTGGTCTTGTCCTGGTCTTGGTCCTGGTCCTCTGGGTCTGGTCCTGGTCCTGGTCTGGTCCTGGTTCTTGGTCCTGGTCCTGGTCTGGTGGTCTGGTCTTGGTCCCTGGTCTTGGTCTGGTCTTGGGTCTGGTCTTGGTCTTGGTCTTCTGGTCCTGGTCTGGTCTTGGTCTGGTCTTGGTCCTGGTCCCTGGTCCTGGTCCTGGTCCTGGTCTGGTCCTGGTCTTGGTCTGGTCTTGGTCCTGGTCTTGGTCCTGGTCTGGTCTGGTCTGGTCCTGGTCTTGGTCTTGGTCTTGGTCTTCCTGGTCTGGTCTTTGGTCGGTCTTGGTCCTGGTCTTGGTCCTGGTCCTGGTCCTGGTCTGGTCCTGGTCCTGGTCTTTGGTCCTGGTCTTGGTCCTCTTGGTCCTGGTCTGGTCTGGTCTTGGTCCTTGGTCTTGGTCCTGGTCTTGGTCCTGGTCCTGGTCCTGGTCTCTGGTCTTGTCCTGGTCCTGGTCTCTGGTCTTGGTCCTGGTCTTGGTCTTGGTCTCGGTCCTGGTCCTGGTCTTACTCACGCGCGGGCCACGGCCTTGCTGGGCAGACACACGGGGTGGATGTTGTCGGAGAAGGTGATGGGTCTCTTCATGTGGAGCAGGGCGATGTCTCGGTTCAGATTTTCTTTCCAGTTGTATTTGGGATGAACGATGATGTTGTCGATGGCAACGATCCGCTCCACGCCGCGCTCGAACCTGGAACAGGGTTTAGACCGGATTTAGACTCGGTTTAGACCTGGGTCAGACTAGGTTTAGACCTGGGTTAGACCGGGGTTAGACAGAGGTTAGACAGAGGTTAGACTGGGCTTAGAACTGGTTTAGTTCTAGTTTAGTCCTGGTTTAGATCAGGTTTGGTCCTGGTCTGGTCTCAGGTTTAGTCCTGCTTTAGTTCTGGTCTGGTCCTAGTTTGGTTCTGGTCTCTGGTCTGGTTATAGTCCCGGTCTCGGTCCCGGTCTCACTTGGCGCGGTTGTGCTTGCCCAGCCTGACGAGCAGGTCGTTGATGGTGAAGTTCTTGTTCCAGGGCGGGTACAGGATGCAGTGAGCAGCCGTCAGGATCCACTGGTCACTGATGAGACTCGCCCCACACAGCAGCTCCTGAGGACTGCGCTTATACAGCATCACCTGCCTGTGGGCGGAGCCAAAACACACCTGTGACACCTGTGACACACACCTGTAACACACTGTGACACACCTGTGACACACCTGTGACACACCTGTGACACACCTGTAACACACCTGTGACACACCTGTGACACACACCTGTGACACACCTGTGACACACACCTGTAACACACCTGTGACACACCTGTGACACACCTGTAACACACCTGTGACACACACACACCTGTGACACACACCTGTAACACACACCTGTGACACACATGTGACACACCTGTGACACACACCTGTACACACACCTGTAACACACCTGTGACACACACACACCTGTGACACACCTGTGACACACCTGTGACACACCTGTGACACACACCTGTAAACACACACCTGTGACACACACTGTGACACACCTGTGACACACCTGTGACCTGTCTGAAGGGGAGGGGCCAGAACAACATCATGGAGTTTAACCCATGTTCTGATGTTCTTCTGTTCTGTTCTTCTGTTCTGATGTTCTTCTGTTTTCTGTTCTGTTCTTCTGTTCTGATGTTCTTCTGTTCTGTTCTTCTGTTCTGTTCTTCTGTTCTGTTCTTCTGTTCTGATGTTCTTCTGTTCTGTTCTTCTGTTCTGTTCTGTTCTTCTGTTCTTCTGTTCTGATGTTCTTCTGTTCTGTTCTTCTGTTCTGTTCTTCTGTTCTGATGTTCTTCTGTTCTGTTCTTCTGTTCTTGATGTTCTTCTGTTCTGTTCTGTTCCTGAACTCAGAGCTGGAGTTGTTGGTTTGAGTAAATCTTTATTCTGAGTCTGTTACATCTCCAAAACTCCAAACACTCTGCTCCACCTTGTGATGTCATGAAGTTCTCGGCTCCTTTTCTCTTTAGTTCAGTCGAGATCTGAACTGAAATGGTGAACTGAAATTTCAGTCAAACCAGGACTGAAATGATCCAGATGATTCTAGTGAAGGTGTGTGGAGTTTAAAAACACAGTGGAGCACTTCCTGTATCACCACATCATGACATCATGAGGTGGAACAGAGTGTTTTCAAATTGAGAGAAGAACTCGTGCTAAATGTGCAGGTTTGTGTGTTAAACTGATCTTCTCCACTGTTGTATATTACGGAACATTTTGGTTACCATGGCGCTGAGGCGACCTCGGCGTCGATCCCGCCCACGATGCGTCCGCCGATGTACGAAGCCACAAGCTCCTCCTCCTTCTGATCCTTCACCCCCTGAGACTCAAACAGAGGGCGCCGTCCGCACTCTGAACGCACAACACACAGTTGTAGTATTTGTAGTATTTACAGTGGTATTTGCAGTAGTATTTGTAGTATTTGTAGTATTTGCAGTAGTATTTGTAGTACTTGTAGTATTTGCAGTAGTATGTGTAGTATTTGCAGTAGTACTTGTAGTATTTGTAGTATTTGCAGTAGTACTTGTAGTATTTGTAGTATTTGCAGTAGTATGTGTAGTATTTGCAGTAGTACTTGTAGTATTTGTAGTATTTGCAGTAGTACTTGTAGTATTTGTAGTATTTGCAGTAGTATGTGTAGTATTTGCAGTAGTACTTGTAGTATTTGTAGTATTTGCAGTAGTATGTGTAGTATTTGCAGTAGTACTTGTAGTATTTGTAGTATTTGCAGTAGTATGTGTAGTATTTGCAGTAGTACTTGTAGTATTTGTAGTATTTTGAGTATTTGTAGTAATTTTAGTATTTAGTATTTGCAGTAGTACTTGTAGTATTTGTAGTATTTGCAGTAGTACTTGTAGTATTTGTAGTATTTGCAGTAGTATTGTAGTAGTATTTGCAGTAGTATGTGTAGTATTTGCAGTAGTATTTGTAGTATTTGCAGTAGTATTTGCAGTATTTGTAGTACTGACCGCTCTCTCCGAGGCCGAAGCTTCGTGGGTTGAACAGGTTTCTTCTCGTGTCCTTCAGAACCGAACGTTCTCGCCCAGAACTCTGCTCCACATTTACAGCTGTCAGAAGGTCCTCTGAAACACAAACAGAACCAGAACCAGGACTAGAACCAGGACTAGAACCACAACCAGGACTAGAACCAGACAACCAGGACTAGAACCAGAACCAGGACCAACCAGGACTAGAACCAGAACCAGAACCAGGACTAGACCAGAACCAGAACCAGGACTAGAACCAGAACCAGGACTAGAACCAGACCAGAACCAGAACCAGAACTAGAACCAGGAACCAGAACCAGGACTAGAACCAGAACCAGGACTAGAACCAGAACCAGGAACCAGGACTAGAACCAGAACCACAACCAGGACTAGAACCAGAACCAGAACCAGAACCAGGACTAGAACCAGAACCAGGACTAGAACCAGAACCACAACCAGGACTAGAACCAGAACCAGGACTAGAACCAGAACCAGGACTAGAACAGGACTAGAACAGGACTAAGTGCTGGTTAGTACTGTGGATGTAATAGTGTAATATGGTGATATAAATAATATGATCACGATAATTGAATCACAAGTGTCTTTGTTTAAATGCAGGTTTTATAGAAGCAACAGTTTAAAAACATCAGAACTACATTTCCCATGATTCATTTCAGCGCAGAAAACATGAAAACATATGGTTTTACTTGAATTCTTGGGATTATGATGGAAATAATTCACACCAAAATCTTGTCAGAGTATTTTCAAATCAAAACAGTGTCTCATCTACAATTATATCAGCCTCTGTAAAATATCGTTATAATATCGTATCGAGAGATAAATATCATGATAATATCGTACAGAGAGATAAATATCATGATAATATCGTACAGAGAGATAAATATCATGATAATATCGTACAGAGAGGTTTGGATATCGTTACATCTTTAATCACTACACGTCTGTAGTTCACAGGAGCAGGAGGATTAGTAATAGTATTAAAAGTACACAGTAACACAGAGCTGCAGATCACAGTAATAGTAGTAGTAGTAGTAGTAGTATCAGTAGTATCAGTAGTAGTAGTAGTAGTCGTAGTATCAGTAGTAGTAGTAGTAGTAGTAGTAGTAGTAGTAGTAGTAGTAGTAGTAGTAGTAGTAGTAGTAGTACCACAGAGTTGCAGGTCACAGTAATAGTAGTAGTAGTAGTATCAGTAGTAGAAGTAGTAGTAGTAGTAGTAGTACCACAGAGTTGCAGGTCGCAGTAATCCACGGTGACGTTGCCGTTCTTCTGGACGTAGCACCAGGGGCCCTCGGGGTCCTGGTCCGGGTTCCTGCAGTGGTTCTGGACCAGTC